GGACAGGGGGGGGACAGCGGGGACAGGGGGGGACAGCGGGGATTGGGGGGACACCGGGGACAGGGGGGACAGCGGGACCGGCAGTGAGCGCCGGGCTCACTGCGTTTCCCTGGGAGGGCTTTATCATCTGGGACAGATACTTTTGGCAGATGTCACCACAAAGTGTCCAATTTGCAGAGGAATTCTAATTGTTGCTTAAAGAAGCCACTAAGAACAGTACATTGGTACCTATGGAGGAAACAAAGTTTGGTTTTCAAGTTCCAAATAACAATAAAGCAAATAAACGAAGGAAGTCATTGCAGTTATTGCAATTTAAATGCAAAAACACTTCCTCACTTTCACTCACTCACCCCCAATTCTTCCCATCAATGCAGAATAAAAAGTGCAAGGACATTTTCAATGAAATCTAAATATCTAAAAGTGTTTAATCTTAACAATGATATTTAGATTTCATTTGTCACTGCAGGAGTGCAGTTTCATAACAAAATCACGGCACTTAGAAAAACAAAAGGCTTGGCCTAATGGGACATAAAATCAAATTCCTGCATGAGGAACTGGGTCTGGAAACCCACTTTGGATCCAAAGAATTGAAGGAGAACAGTCAACAATTAATTTGAAAAGATATTTATTTTGAGAACATCGACTTGCACATTATACAAAAAATTGACAAATTCACTGAAAAAAACCTATAAAATGTTGTGGGGTCTTTTTCCCTAAAATATTAACATAATCACTTTCCAAAGGGTAAGAGCTGAGGAAACCAAAAGTAGGCACATTTGTTCCAGTCTGTCTGCAGAAAAGTGTGATTTAAAACATCCCTGTCTTGCTGAGGTATGGAACTGCAAACTTTGGTCATGTTAGAGGGAGACCAAGGGAGTCTTCTCGAGGGATGGCCAATATAAAACAGTTCATTAAAAAGCCAGAATTGGTTATTTTTCATTTCCAGGTAGAAATGCACTAAAAAAAAAGAACTCCCCAATATAGCTATGACTAGGAAACCTGATCCTCTGCAAATCCCAACTAATCACACACAGCTACAGTGATCCATGCTCCCAAAGAATCCGGCTGGCAAGTCCCAACAATTCAGTGCTTATGAAAAAAAGGAGACATTGATGGTGATTCAGAGCCCAGTCTTCCAGCAAAGGACAAAAGGCACTTAAGAATGGCTTTAGGATATTCCACAATGGCATTTCGGGATAGGGGACAGCGCCTGGCTGAACAAGTCCTTCCCTAAGAGAAGTCCAGTGAGGTAGTACTTCATATTGCTCCAACCACTTGGCTCTAAGCAAGCAGCCTTCTGGTTCTGAGATACAAAATTAGCAGGAAATGGCTTTCTGTCAAATGTATAAAACCCAGTTCTTACAAAAAAATAGCAAAAACCCACTTGTGGTACACAAAGCCAGGAACCATCTTGTACAAATTGAGTATCAAAATGCTGCCAAGGTGATGCACAAGTCTACCTTGATGGCCAAATCCCCAGACAGTGAAGATTGTTCTAGCAACCAAGCCATTTTTGGAATAAAAAATAAAAATAAAGGGGACACAGGGGCACTCTGAGAACTTTCCTCATCATTAGCAGCCTCACCGGAAGCACTTTCAGTCCACTAAAAACAAATAATTCTGTGCTGATGAATGGCAGGTTTGAGGGGATGTAAAAAAGAAAAGCAAAGTTCAACATAGAGAACAAAAACAAAGTCCACGAACATACAAAAGGATAATCCTTGGAGTTTACAGTTTTTTTTAAAAACAAGGAAGACTTAAAACCATGTTTGCGGGGGCTGGGGGAACACAGACTACCTTTTTTTGTTTTAAATTAAGCCCAGGGTAGGAGGGGAGGGAGGGAGAAGTGCTTTGGGGGATCACCGGCCCCTGCCGTAGCCGGGGAAGAGCTGGGCCAGGACGCTCTGCAGGGCCTCGTTCACCTCCATGCTGTAACTGCGGCCCAGCTCGTAGCGACACGCGGGGCAGCTGAACACCGACGCCTTGAACGACCTGTCCAGGCAGTCCTGGGGACAGAAGCCAGCAGGGTCAGGGACAGGGGCTGGGCTCACCTGGCACAGCCCCGAGATTCCTGGGAACGGCCCAGGGGGAACAGGAGCACTGCACTGCAACTGGGAACATTCCTGCTGGACACAGCAGAGATCAGGGAATTCCAGCCTGGGCTGGGTTGGAGGGACCTTAAAGCCCACCCAGTGCCACCCCTGCCATGGCAGGGACACTGCCACTGTCCCAGGCTGCTCCAAACCCCATCCAACCCAGAATGGGGCACTGCCAGGGATCCAGGGGCAGCCACAGCTGCTCTGGGAATTCCTTTCCAGGGCCTCAACACCCTCACAGGGAACAACTCCTTCGCAATAGCCCAGCAGAGCCCAGCCCAGCAGAGCCCAGCCCCGCAGAGCCCAGCCCCGCAGAGCCCAGCCCAGCAGAGCCCAGCCCCGCAGAGCCCAGCCCCGCAGAGCCCAGCCCACCTTGCAGACGTTGTGCTGGCACACGGTGGTGACCGGCCGGAACACGACCTCCTGACAGCAGATACACAGAAAGGCCTCCTCCACTTTACTCAGAAATTTCTGCAAAGTGAATGTTTGACTCCACTTAGTGCTGAAAGACACCTAAATTAACCCAAACCCCCACCAGTCAATGCAAGGGATTACTTTGATCATAAAAAAGAGTCTCAACAAATCTTAGCATGTGAAATCTGTCCCATTAAACCTGCTGGGGGTGTTTGCTCTAAAATAAGATCATTTTAGGTCTGAGGCTGCTCCTTAACTTGGCCAAGGATTTGTCTGGGGACAGCCCAGCTACAGGTGGGGGAAAGCCCAGTGTACCGGTCCATCTTTGAGAGCCTCTAGGACTTCATTCCACAGTTTTTCATTGGCTTCATCACTTTTTATAAGAGATTTCTGCTGGGATGTCAGCTTGTATGGCTCAACTTTAGTTTTCTTTGGAGTCCCTGCTGGAGAGGTGATGAGTTTTTCCTCCCCATCTGAAAGAAAACACAAAGATTTTTTTAAAAAACCAACCTAAAAAACACCAGAAAAGAGTAAGTAAAATGTACAAAAACCTCCAGGGCTTTCTATATCCACTTGCCTACTCCACAAACCTGCTGATTTCCTTTTCCTCTTCCCTTTCCCTGGGGTATCAAACTCATCATCTCCACTATTTTCTTTTTCCTTATCTTTGTTTGCAACGGCTTCCAAATATCCTTCAGGATACTGCAGGAAACAAAACAAAGAGCATCCAATGCAAACACACGGGGTCAGACTTGCAGACCAAGACAGGTCCAAGAGTGACCTCTGGAGAACTGTTCCAGGGGCAGTTTTAATCTATTTTAAGCAACAGATCCCTGCTATGGGGAAGCACTTCACAGCCTATAGAAATTCCATACTAAAAAAATAAAAGTGAGTTTTGTCCTTTTAGCCTCCTGATGTATAAAAACAAACCCAGCAGACCAGAAGCATTTATGTGCCTCTCAGTCTCCAGTTTTAACTAAGGATCACCCTCAGTAAGAACATGTCACAGAAAAATCCCTGCTCTCCATCGATTTCAGAGCCCAGGTGACGTCCCAAGGCAGTTACCTGCATTGTCAGGCCAAGCTTTTTCATCCTGTCCTTTCCCTCTTTGGTCCAAGGAGCAGGTTCTTCATCGTCCCTCCTAAGCAGGTATCGCCACACCAGAAACCCAGATTTCCCTGTCTCGGGCCAGTATTTCACAACCTGCAAAAGCCAGAGCAAGTCCATCACACTCTGTCCAAGCCCCTTGGCCACAGGCACACCCAGCCCTAGCTCAGCCCACCCCTCCTCACCTTGTAGATGCCGTCGTATCTGTTGCCCTCCAGAGGAGCGTACTTGCTGTGCTTGCCTCCCTTGACGTTCCTGACCACCCGCACCGGCTTCCCTGCCCGCCAGTCCTTGGCCTCGGCCCCCTGCTTGTCGTTGATGGGGGCACTGCAGTTGAGAGCCAGGGCTCTGCAAGAGAGGCCAGAGCTGATGTCTGCCATGTGAGCCGTGTGACAGTGACACCTCTGCACTCAGGGCCTCCTCATTATTCACGGCATTACCCTCACGACCAGCCCAGATCGCTTCCTCCACTCAAGTCCAGGCTCATCGGTGAGAGTAACAGCTCAGAATTACAAATGTTCTGCTCTCCCAAGGTGACCAGGGGCCACAAATGTCTCCAGGAGAGAGCAGGAGGGCTCCTACACCAATTGACTGCTCTGTCCCTCAAGTTTCAGCCAGTATTGCACGTGACACCGACACCGCTCCCAGTCCTGCCCCATTCCAGTGCTCTGAAGGAGCATTCCCATTGTACAGCTGATCTGAACCACAGCCCACAGACCCAGCCTGGAGCCTTTTCCAGCTTCCTTGGATGCAAACAGCCCAAACAATCCCAATCCCTCGTGCTGGCAGGCTGAGGTGCTGAGGCAGAACAGAGCACAAACGCTGCCAACCTGTTCATGTTGGTGAGTTTCTGATCACAGGACTGTTCTGCCGTGCGCTTGTTCCCAGAGAGGTCTCGGCCCCCACTCCCCGTGTACGTGAAGGAATTCCCATGATCCTGAAACGAACAGTGGTTCTGACAGTCACAAAAAGAATTCAATACAAGCAGAAGAATCTTTCAACCAGGTAGTTTAGCTGGGCATTCCCAAAAAAGGAAAGCTGTTTCCTGTATTTAATCTCCCAGAGTGGGCCAGGCTCTCCCTCAGGCTGCCAGGAGAGGAGGCCAGGGTGACAATGCTCTTGTCACAGCCCTGAGCACTGCCAGGACCCCTGAGCAGCCCCAGGGTGACAATGCTCTTGTCACAGCCCTGAGCACTGCCAGGACCCCTGAGCAGCCCAGGTCACACAGGATCTGCTGGAGGTGAACAGCTGCCAGCACAGCCCGTGTTCAAACTGTGGCTCTAATGCACACCTTGAAAACTCTGGGGTCACAGGGTATCCCCTGGTTAAACTGGGTTTGGCTGATCCTGTGGCTCAGGCTGGCACAGATTACTGCACTTTCTCCTTGCTTCATTTGCTTCTGAAGGAAATAGGTGAAGCTGGGCAAGTGTTTGGTGCAGAGTGCAAAAAGTAACGAAGGCCAAGGCTCTGTTTAACAAGTTCATTTGGTTCTGTGCATCAATAATCAGAATCCACTCACGATGTCATCTTCATATCCTCCTGCCAGCACCAAGGAATAGGCGCCATCGTTGCTCCTGCCGTGGATCCCCGCCACGTGGGGCCTGTGCACCCCGGACTCGCTCACCTGGCAGACAAAATCAGGTTTGGAGGCACCTGCTCTCACCAGACCCAGCACAGCACTGGCCTGGGAGCTGAACCAACTGTGCTATTTCACATTTGCTTTCCATCTACCACAGGGGAAACTGCTCTCACCATCATCCTCCAAAAAGCTCCAGGCAGAAGAAAGAAAAATAAAAATGCTTCTAACAAAGTAATGCGCTGACTGTGTTGAACACATGTGTAAGGTTTGTGGTGCAAATCTAATAATTACTGACACTGCTTATTAAAAGGCTCCAGGCATTTAAGAATAATACAGCTATTAAATATTTGTATAAAGTTTTGAAAGAGTTGTAATAGCAACTTTCCCTCAATACTTGGACTCAAGATCTGGATAGGCCAATGCTTTTTTCTGCCCCAACTTTCTCACAGGATGAGAAACCTCTTGTTTCATGTATGTGGATATTTGAGACACCCTTGCCAGGGCACACTACACACCTGCAGGACAAACTACTGAGAACAAATCTGTTTGCTTTGGGGTTTTTGAGTTACCAAAAAGAGCACTAAAACAAAGTAAACCAGCACTTGATGGGCCCCAACAATGCAGCATTAGCTATGGAACACTTGATCCAGACAAAGCCAGAATTCTTTTCCTTCTGCACTTCCATATGTCCAGTGATGCACGCATTTCCACATTAACTGTTTCAGGTTTCTTGTAGCAGCTGGATCATTCCCATTTCTCCCCACAGCAGATCAGGCCAGCATTCAGCTTCATACCTGAACTCTGAATTTCCACATGGTGCCAACGGGGATGCCAGGAATTGGTCCATAGTGGTTGGAGGGGACAATGGTGCATTCCTTGGTGCGCCCAACACACGCCATGCCCTGGGCAGAGAGAGCAGGATCAGCCAAGAGCCCAGAGGAACCAACACAACTCCAAGTAAAACAGCTTTGGACTGACCTTGCCCCAGTCTCTCCGGGAGGAGGAATTAGCAGATGCCATCTTTTGTTTCTTTTTACTTTCTTTTAATTTCTCTCCTGCTAAAACCACCTCACTTGCATCATTTCGACATTCAGGGCAATACCTAAAGTCATTGAAAATTAATAAGCAGCAAAGGCTTCAGTTAGGAGCATTTCCTCCAAACACAGTGAGTTATGTTACAATTTCCCCACATGAAACCAGACAGGACATGGAAACACTCTCACACTGGAATTACTGGAATACTACAACACTGCAGATGTGTCAGGAAACAGCTGTGTCACAAAATCATTGTAAACAGTGTTGAAACAGGGCAGAGGGAATAAACCAGTGCATTTCACTAACTCTGTGTCTACTGAAAGAAGTATTTCACTATCCACACCTCTCACTGTACACATCTCATGTACAAACCAGCCTGACCTGCTGATGGTGGGGCCTGGGCCCTGCCTGCAGCCACTGCACAACTGAAGCCCCCCAGCATCAAGTTTTCATTTGGTCCTCTCTGAATCCCAGGCTGGTTTAGGTTGGAAGCTTAAAGCTCATCTTGTTCCACCCCCTGCCACGGCAGGAACACCTCCCACTATCCCAGGCTGCCCCAAGCCCTGGCCTTAGGCAGGTACACAAAAAAGGCATCTTAGATCCCAAAACTAGGAAAAGGAGTGTGCAGGCCACTGGCTTAAAACCTACTCTCATTAAGCTCAAGAAAAGCTAGGAAGTTTTACCAAGAAAAACCCCAGAAGACACACACCCCTGTACAGCCACTGAAAAGGGCAGCTTCGAGCCCCAGACCTAGTTCCTGCTCCTGAGTAGAGGCAATTGTGACACCCCACACGCCTCCCCAGAACCTACCAGTCCTCGTCATCTGGGATTCTGCTGAGGGGAGGCTTGAGGCAGTAGATGTGGAAGGCCATGTCACACTCGTCACACATGAGCTGCTTCTCTGGATCCTGCTTCCCCCCACAGATGTGACACGCACAGACCCTGCACGTCTTGTTTGGGTTGTCCTTGCAGGCTTTACACACGGGTCCAATCTGTCCTGTGGGCAAACACAAAGCACACTCAGCCAATGCCAAGATCCACTGGAAACAGCCAAAGGAGGCACCACTAAACTCTCAAACCTCTGAGACAACTGGCAGGACGTCACAAGGTGAGACAGACAAGCCAGAACTCCCCATCAGACTCACGTTTTGGGGTACCAGCACTGATGGGAGAAGCAGAGCCTGGCTCTTCTATTTTATAGATTTCATCCACTAATATAATTGTGCAGTCATTCAAGGAATCACCAGCTTCCCTAGAAGTTGAGAAAAGAAATCCCAGTTCAGAAGTATCCCAGAGCTCGAGTTCACAGCTGTGCATGCATCAGACTGCTCAGGCATTGAAAATCAAATCATTTTATGCAATTAGAATAAACCTCCTCTTGTCTCAGGGAGAATCCAGGCACTTGTAGCATTTCAATTATCACAAGTGACTGTTCCCCCTGCCCCCAAATATATTTCAGACTAATGTGTCTCATATTTTATAGTTAAAAAGTCAAAATCACTCTGGTGAGAAGAAAAAGGATGAATATTCTTTTCTTCCTGAAGTTGAGTCTCCTTCAGGAGAGAACTGGCATCATTTTTCATCACTTTTATATAGTAAGAGAGTTCTTTCTACATCATCCTATCTCCACAACATATTACACTGCAGTTTTGTAAAGCCATTATGGATAATTAACACATAAAGAATAATTTGCCTCATGGTGAATATGGGGCTTTGCATCCTTTCAGCATTAAGTGAATCCATGGATCAGCGTTCCTTCGAGTGTCCAGTTCCTGAGTGGAAGGAAATCAGAACTGCAGAATGCTGAAGTTATTCACCCAAAAAGGACAGGCCACTTTCCATCTGTCCCCTGCACTACTGTGGCACCATTCTTTGCCGGCAGTCTCACTCAGACCTCAGAAAGCTGAAGCAGAGCAAGGGAATCCCATTTATTCCACGTGAGCAGCTTACCCAAGCAGTATCTTTGCATTGAGCTCCCTGGTCAGTTTTGTTTCCCTTTTCTGCAGGATCTCAGCATCGTACCAGAAGCCCCTCTCCTTGGGCTCATCGGGGTTGTAGTTGACCATCACCACCTGCCCCACCTCCAGCTGGTGCCACTTGAGGATGGTCCGAGCCCGAGCGCGCACGTTAGCGGAGCTCATCTGCACCACGCCGTTCTCTGGATAACTTCAAGGCAGGGACAGAACAAAAACCAGATTCAGCAGCAGTTCTGAGGAGTAACAGGTGTTCCACAGACAGGTTGATTTTGCTGCACAACACAAGAATACCATCAAGGATAAAATCTCCTCCCACACAGACGCAGCCAGAACCAACCTGTGTGGCTTTGCTACTGTTCCCTCCCTCTGACACTTGGCCACCAGCACTTCCTATAAATGCTGTTATCCATAAAAACATGATTCCAGACCCCTGGAATTCCAACTGCAAAACAACCTTACTTGCCAGGGCTCAATGACATAATTACTATGCCACTGCCCAGTTCTGTTTTAATTAATGCAATATCTGCAATAAAATGTCCTATCGCCATCACAAGCCAAACGACTTCATTGGCCAAAACAAAACTCACTCATCATATTTCACATGATAAATTACATCTTCTTCAGGGACAGCTGTGGGCTGGTCAGGATCTGTGCAGCTCTCAGCTGATTCACTGGTGGGTTTTTTCCTGGTTACATTCACAACCTGGGCTTCAAACCACGCTCCCATGTCCGTGTCCCGAGCATCCACCAAGTCATTGATCTGTGAAGAGCAAAGAGCACAGATCACCAAAAGGGATTTGCAAATTAGGCATTCATTTCCAATCCACTTGAAGATTTAACCATCTCAAGAACTGCACCATTATCAAGATATTTAAATGATCACCTTAAAAATTAAGATTTCCTCTGCTTTCCTGGTCCTGTCGTGCAGCCCTACAGTGTGCTTAGGTTGAATTTGTAAGGTTATAAATCCACTCTACACCAGACATGTAAACCCAGCCTTGTTAGTGAGCACAAACCATTCTTGGTTAGTCTGGAACAGCCTTTTAAAGCATCTTGCTCATAACCTGGCAAAGACATCGCTAGATCTGTAATAAAATCCATTGAAACAAAGAAGTAAAATGATTCTGAACAGCTGCTTGAGATTTTCTTTTGTTCATTCAAGAAAGTTCAGCTTTGACAAATGTAGTGACTCCAAGCAAAAATATTGGGAAAATTTGTAAAAAAAAAAAAAATCAAACCAGACACTGTGAATGCTTTGCTTTTTTTTAATTAATTAATGTATTGTAGTTTTAGTTCAAAGGACAAAATGAAAAAAAATGTAAGTATTTTGACCTACAGCATGTTGCATTGAATTGGTTTGTGGGTTGGTTGGTATTTTTGTCTTTGTTGTTGGAGGGTTTGAGAGAAGAAAGGAACTGCCCACACAGTCGGGGTATGAAAGATTTTCAGCGATTCTCTGCTGCAGAGAACAATTCCCCTGGCAGGGCGCAGGTCCGAGGGCTCCCAGTGTGTGAGGACCCACCTTGTAGAGGCCGAAGCCGGGGTCGGTCCAGTGGGGCTGCTTTGCCGTGCTGGGCTGTCCCTCCAGCTCCAGGGCACCCTCCCCGTTGTGGGAGCTTTTGTCGGACTCGCTGGGGCCGGAGCCACAGCCGGAGTCGCTGTCTGAGAGCTCCGAGTCCTTCTCCTTGCTCCCAGCAGGCAGCACGGCCGGGCTTTGTCTGACCAGCAGCTGAACGATATCGTTCAGCCCCACGCTGTAATCGAACAGGGAGTGACCATCTTCCATCTGCAGGGAAAGCACCAAACCGAGCTGGTCACGGCCTCCACCGGGCTGAGCCCGAGCACCCGCGGTGCCCAGAGCAGCCCTGCCCGCCAACACCCGCCACGTGGCTTTAGAGCCATCAGCAGCCATCTCTGGGCCCTTCTTCCCTCTATTCCCGCTATTCAAATGGTCTTTTTCCAGTCACCCCACAGCCCACAAGAGCAAGGCTTCCATGCTACCCTGGACTTACTCCCCAGCCTCGATGAGATCGGGAAAGGTTTGCAGGACATTCCCTGGAAACATCAATTAAACAACTACAGACGCCCCACATTCCCATCAGGATTCAAAGATAATTCCACATTACCTACAAACTCAAAGGGAAATGATTTCTTCCTCAATTCAGTCGCATCCCAAACGTTAATGCAGACTGTCTTTATATTTTGTGTGTGATCCTGATTATTGTTACACCATTTCCATTAATTGTAGCACTAATTAGAAGCCAGAGTTAATCATGCACTTTTCTCTCAGCAAACACACATTTTTTCCATTGAAAGTAAAATCAAAAAAGATTCAATTCAACTTGAAACTACCCAATCGCTCTTTAGCGTGGCCAGGCGTGTCCTAATTTCACACCCTCTCTAATTCTAAGAGTTTATTTGGCAAGTCTGGCGTGGCTTTAGTCAAATCAAAACCCTGCCCTGCAAAAAGAGAAGTGCAGAGGGAGAGAGAGATCCCTCAGTAACCTCTCAGGAGCTCTAAGGAGCACAACCCTTTTAGAGTTAATATGTGAGGCTGGAGCCCACAGAGCAGTCAGAAGTTCAGACAAGCTTCCCCACATATTTAAGGTCTGACTAAGAAATTTTACAGGAAATGATCATCCCCTTCCAGCTCAAACCACCAGAAAAAGCAATCCCTGGAGCTTTGTTCTCTATCAGGGGGAAGCAGAGCAAAACCACAAAAATTTACACTTCACAGGAATCACTATGATAATTCAATTCTGATTTATGGCACCAAATGGCTACGGAACAATCCCTGGAAATCTGACTGCACAGGAAGAGGTCTGAGCTTTTTGCTGGTTTAGAGATGAAAACTCCTCGAGATGCGTAAGGACACACCAGAAATCGGTTGTTTCTTCTTAGCCCAGACACGGTGTCACAAACACGGGGACAGCAGCAGAGGACACGAGTGACAACAGGTGCAGAGGGAAATGGCAGAGCACAGGAACAGGACAGGAAACCACAGGAGCTCAAGGCACAGCCAGAAAGAAGAGCCCGGGACTGACGACAAACCTCAAACAAAGGAGGCAGCTTTTCACTAACAGCTAATTTTCTAACCCCATTTATGAATGGTCACGAGTAAGAAATTGAACATTTGCAGGGATTCCAACAGCCAGAGAAAGGCCAGTGGGAACGAGGCCTGAGAGAGGCTGGATCACGCCAGGGAACCAAGGAACTGCAGGAGGAGGGATTCCCTTGGTAGGGCAAGGGCATCCTCACTCAGTCACCACTTCTGAAAATCCTCCTAACCCCGGCTGGCTGCACAGGCTGCGGGGTGAGGCTGACAGGTGCCACCTGCCCTGAACCAACGCTCTCTTATCACGTAATTTACAACACAAATGGGTCATTAAGGCACCCAAATCTACCCTAACCCTACAGAAAGGTGGGTTACACCCAGCAGCCCTTCAGAGACCTCACACCATCCTACAAGCCTCTTTTTATGCTACAACTGGTACCTGAGCTTAGACTGGGGCTAGTCCAGGTGTATTTCCATGTTCTACAGCCACACCTGCTAGTTACAGAGTACAGTTAGCTCAAGACTGCCTAAAACAGAAAGAAAAGCAGCTAGAAAAAACTGTCCATCCCCAGCCAACTCAGCATCCCGCTGCTTTTCCTGAAATTAATCCTGTGATCAGCCAAACACCAGATCAGGAGTTTCTCTAGCACAGAGCTTTAGCAGCATAGGATTAGGCACAATACAGCAATTGTATTTTAAAATGGTTTTGATTGACTTCAGTGCTAATTTAGTTACATTATTAACTCACAAGGAAGAAAACAGTTGTACAACAGCAATTGTAAACCTATTATTGAAAACATAATATAGCACTGAGCCACTCAAGTGTTCTGTACCTAGTGAGAATTTGATACCAGAGCTGAAAAACCTCAAAATAATGAGTTGCTTTTCCCAATTTACAAAGAAAAATGAGATCTCTACAGCTTTCAGAGCAGCGGAAGTTGCAAGGCTCAAAAGCATTAAGCACTTTAAAGACAATAAAATCACTAGTAATATTCAGACACTTCATAAAGGCAATGTCAAGGCAGAAGAGTAGCACATTAGGTGGAAAATAGTAAGAAAAGTAAGAATAAAGGCTGTGCTGCAGCTGGCTCCTCTCCTTGCCAGGGCACGGAAGGAGCAGCGCGGGAGGGAGCCGGGGTCACTAGATGGCAGCAAAACCCCTCACTTCCACGCTATTAAAAATAAATAAATTAAAACACCCGTCCTCAGCTGGAGGGGAGGACGGGGCAGGGAGCGGTGTCCGAGCACCGCGCTGCTGCCGCTCCGAGGCTGTCAGCCCGCCGGGCCGGTACCTGCTTGCCGCGGTAGAACAGCCGCTGCCGGTGGGGCTCCACGCCGAACACCTCGTGTATCCGCAGGCGCAGCCCCTCCACCTTGGTGAGCTTGGAGAGCGAGTCCACGCGGTGCGTCTGGCTGCCGTCCATGGTGCGCACCTGGATCCACATGGCGGCGGCGCTGCCCCGGGAATGGGACCGCGCTCAGGCGGCGGCACCGGCGGGGCGGGCCCGGCCCCCGCCCCGCCCTCACGCGCCCGCCGCACGCCATTGGCCGGCGGCCCGGGCGGCTCGGCCGCTGATTGGCTGCGTGTGACTGGCCCCGCCCCCCACGCGGGAGCCTAACGGCTCCGCTCGAGCCGACCGTATCTCCCGCCACAATTGAAACCCGCCCGCCGCGCCCACGCGCCAAGTCTCGCGCGATCATGCAAATGACGGAAGGGATAAAGGAGGTGGAAGCGCGTGGTCTTAAAGGGGCCGCCACCGGCGCCCGCGGCACGGCGGGCACAGCGCGGGCCGCGGTCCCTGGACCGTACACGCACCCCGGGACAGGAGGGGAATCGCGGGATGTCAGTGACCCCTGCCGCTCCCGGACCCGCCCCAGCCCGGCCGCGTCATCCCCGCGCACCCCGCGGGGCGATGCCACTCCCCAGGCCCGTAGGGCACCGGTGCCGCCGGCACCGCCCCTGACGGGCACACCCCCTCCCGTGGGCCCGTTCGGGGGCGGGGGTCGGTCCCGCTGTCGCGGCCCCGAGCGCGTCCCCTCCGGGGCACCCGAACCAGCTGTCACCGCCCGGGCACGGCGGAGCGCTCCCGCTACTTCCCGCCCCGGCACGGGCACGGCGGCGAAACCCCTGCGCCCCTCGCTGTCCTGCCGCTCCCGGGGTCCCCGGCCAGCGGCGGGATCGCGATGGGGCGGCGGTGCCGGGACCGGGGGTCCCGGCGGACTCACCGGGCTGTGGGACCGGGGGTCCCGGCGGTCTCACCGGGCTGCGGGGCTGGAGCCGGTGCCGCGCGCGCTCTCCGCGGGCTTTGGAGTTTGGCGCGGAAAAGCCCCGTGCGCGCCCCACGCGCGCCCATTGGCCGCCGCTGGCGGGAACGCGCGGCCGGGGCGGGGCCGCCGCCGCCTCCCGGGACCGGGGGGGACCCCCGGGGGGGAAACGGGACCGGGAAAACACTCCGGGGGCGACTTCGGGCATCCCCCGCCAACGGCCCGGCCCGGTGCCCCCGCTCCGCTGCGATGGTGGGGGTGAAATCCCCCAATTCCCCAAGGGCTCTATCACCCCCGGGGCCGTGGGCACGGTTATTGTCCTAAACGGTACCGGTTATTGTCCTAAAACCCGGGCCCCGGAGAGCCCCAGCGGGAGAGGAGACTCCAATGACCCCCCTATGACAGCCACCCTTCCCCGAGGGGTCCTGTGCCCCCTGGGGGCTCCAGGCCCTGCCCTGATGCGAATAATCCGAATAATCCAAACGATGTGAATAAACTGAATAATTCGAATAACTGAATTTGAATAAACAGAACAATCCAAATGAACCAAATAATCCGCAAAAGGGCTCTAACGCCCCAGGCCGTTAGCTCCAGGGGGGCTTGTGGCATTTGTGCAGGGCCCCACTGGTGACAATGTGGCCTGGTGACACGGCGGGGCCGTGGCGCGGCACCGTGAGCCAACAGAAAGGGCTGCTGCGGCAGGGTGTTTATCCCCAAAACCACTGATGCTATGAGGAAATTAAAAATTATAATATTTTCTTAAAACAACCATTGGATGGGGGAAAGTGCTGCCAAGAGGCCCCTGAGAGAAGCGTGCTGGAAGAGAAGGGTGAAAGGCTGAGCATTGGTGTTTGTGGGGGAGAGAGGATGGCGGCGGCTTGGCCGGAACAGCCGCACTGAGGACAAAGGAACACGAGGCGCGGGAGGCCCCGGCAAACCCCATTTCCCGTGTTCCCCTCCCCGCTCCCACGGCCTCCCCTCAGCACCAGAACACAGAAAGCAGCGGGATGTGGTCGCTCCCGCCCCGGGTTTGCCGGCTGACATGGAGAACACGCCGGGCTGCGCCTCCGCCGCGTCCCGCTGCCTTCCTGGAGCCGCCATGGACGGATGGACAAGGCGCCGGCCCAGGGCTGGCAGCCACGGCCTGGATGGGCTCGGTGCCGGGGCTGGGGGGATCGGGACACTCAGGACACGTCTCTGGCCCACGGCCTGCAGCGGCCAGGCTCCACGTCCTCACAGGGCCCAAGGCTCTGCCTCAACACAAAGTCATTTCTTGCCCTTGCAGATGTACCGGAGGATTAACCTGAAGCCAACACAGCATTTCCTGCGGCCCGAGAGGGCTCTCGGATATTGGGAAGGAATTCCTCCCTGTCAGAGCTGCCCAACACAGTTGTTCACCACCCCTGACCCAGCTTGTCGCACAGCAGTGACAGACAGGTCCCAACCCCCAGGCAGGATGCTCTGTGGAACGGAATATCCCTCTGGCCAGTCCAGATCAGCTCTCCTGGCCATGCTCCCACCCAGCTCCTTGTGCCTCTGCTCCCTGGCAGAGAAATGTCCTTCACTTGGAGTACGCACAACTCAGCCACAGCTACAAGATGGGTTGTTACCAACATTATTCCCATGCTAAATCCAAAACACAGCACTGGACCAGCTACTGGGAATTAACTCTATCCCAGCCAAAACCAGGACACAGGCACTGGCATTTATGCTTTTATGTACATAAATACATATTCCTGGCATAGCTGTTCCCAAGGACAGGTGATGAGTCAGGCCTGTCACACGCAGCACAGCGAGAAACCTGCCCCCAGGTGAGGCAGTGGGGCTGCAGTGCAGGGCTGTTCCAGCCCCACGTGCTCTGGGATGATGCGGAGTCAGGCTGCACCCAGGAACTCTCCAGGTTCCATGTTCCCTCTGTCCATGCAAAGCTCTGTGTGACGGAAGCTGAGCAAGCAGCAGTTCACAGGGGTAAAGCTGGCCAAAGCTGGGGAGTGCAAAGGAGGCCTGTGGCTCTGGGGAAGAAGGACCTGGGGTCTCTGCCACAGGTGGGGATGGAGGGGACACTTTTAGCAGGCCCAGGTGACATCCCCTCTCCCATCTACCAGAAACAACCAGCATTACACTACCCCAGCTCACCTCTACCTCAGGCAAGACAGCAGCAGAGGGAGGAGCAGCAGGCATGTAGGAAACCATCCTGCAGCCTGAAAAAGCAGCAGAAAGGTGAACTGGAATATTGGGAGAGCAGCCAGGAAACATCAGGCTGTTCCCTGCTGTGAGGGCAAAGTGTCTGGGAGCAGGAATCTGCCACCCACCTGTCCTGGGAGCCCAGGGGAGCTGCTGGAAGGGGAGCAGGGTCTGGGGGAGCAGAGCAGGCACAGGAGACAGGAGGGTCCTGCTGGGGTGATGAGCGGGAGGGCAGCAGAGACCTGCAGCATGTCCTGACCCAGGAGAGTGCTCTGAAGGCCTGGGGGGACCAGGAAGGTTGGTGGGCTTTGCACAGCAGTGAATGACAGTGACCCAAAGCTGTCCCCTCCATGGGCTCTGCAGAGCTGCCCGGACAGCTCTGGAATCCCAAGGGTTTGCTTCGCTTACCTGAGGAACAGAACCAAAGCTCCTCATGGCCCAGCCCTGAATCATCGCTATCATCACTTCTCGTGCCTGTGCCTGCCCCAGGGAGGGTGACCATGGGGAAGGTGACACGGGGAAGGTGACACGGGGAAGGTGACCATGGCACGGTGGCAGGTACCATGGCATGGAGTCAGTGCCCTGGGAGAGCAGCAAGAACATTTCCTCTGCAGCAGATGAACACTTGCAGTGGGAACTCCAGTGTCACATGGGCCCCAAAGGGACAATGCTGAGCTGTGACACACCACAGAGAGGGCAAGGAATGGCTCCCAACGCAGGAGCCCGACCCTCCAAATCCCACACACACCTGTGGGTTTTGCACTCAACAGAAAGCCCACAGGTTCTTCGAGAGAAGCTCGAGGCTGAGGCCCCAGGCAGAGGCAGCTGAAGGACAGCAGTGCAGCAGCAGTGCAGGGCTGAGGGACAGCTGAAGGACAGCAGTGCAGCAGCAGTGCAGGGCTGAGGGACAGGGGATCCTGGCTCCCACAGGTGCAGCAGCTGGGGTTCACACCTGAGGGTCCTGCCCGGGGTCTGGATGCTGCAGCTTTGCTCAGGGCTGCACAGAGCTCCAACCAGCACAGCTCCTCTCCCTTCCCCAAACGCGTTTCTCCACTTCCTCCCACGCCCTTCCCACGCCCACCAAACCTCTTAGGGACGATTTTATCTCTGATTTAATTCTGTCTTTCATACAGCACCGAGAGTCACAGAAATGATTGTGCAAACCTTTGCTCTGACACTGCAATCCCCCAAATCTAGTGTCCTGGCCCTGCAGGCAGTTCTGCCACCCAGCAGGAAATCCCAGCATTGATATTTTACCCAAATATCAAAGCCACACATCAGATATTAAAAACTGCCTGGTTAATTTTAATTACTGGTTATCACTTCTCACATTCCCCTGTGCCCCACTACAGCCACATGAAGGTGCATCGTGCAGACAGTGCTGTTTCACTCAGGGGATGAAACAGAACCTGTCCCATGAGACTTTCACCATCCCCACCACAACTGACCCACTGGGGCACTTCACACCCATGAACCACCTGGCAGCTGGATCACTGACACGTTACCTGAGGATGCAGCACTGGCTGTGTCAGGCTGACACTCCGAAATACACAGGACTCATTTCTTAATTCCCTGTTCCTGTAAAAAAACCCTTCATTTCATCAACTCTTCCACAGGACAGACAAGAATAACTTTTATTTCCCTTACAAACATCACAATTGTTAAAAGCCACTGGTTTGCTTCAGTTTTAGTACAAGATACCAAACACCTCAGAACTGCATCGAAAACTTAAACCCAGACCATTCTGGGATCCTGTGACTCCATGACAGGCTCCCAGGTGATGACAGAATATGGAGTTTGTGTCCCACAGACAAATGCACAAGGACTGTTCCCAGCAGTGCAGGTGATCAAACCAGAGGCAAAAGCCACAATTTGTAGCTGGAGAGGCTCAGAGTGGACGTTGGGAGCTGCTTCTCCATTAATGCAATATGCATTAACATACACCAATGGGTCCAACAGCCAGAGAGGCTGAGTGAGGTCTCCATCCCTGGGAGGTTTCCAGACTCAGCCAGACCCCAGCTCTCCAGAGGCTT